TGACATTTGATTGAATAAGGGGTGGAGGAGGGTGAAATGGGGAACGAGAATTCTTATGCTTGCCTCACTCCTTTCCACTTCCCCAGTCCCCACCTTGTAAAGAAAAATGTCTGTAATTGACCTTCAACTCGTTGGTTGGTTTTTATTTTAATTTTTTTTTTATTTTTGGCTATTATTTTTTTTTTTGTAAAATAAATAAAAAAGATGATTTTTCAGCTACAGTTCATTCGATAAAATAAATAATGACTATTGACTTCTGAAAAGAAAAAAAAAGAGAGACAGAATAAACCTTTTTTTTCTTAATTTTTTTCAACTTTTTTCTTTTCTTCAAATTAATTTTTTTTTCCTTTTTTATTTTTTGCTTGTTTAATTCATGACGTTGTTTTTTATTTCGTTTTTTCTGTTTCTAATTTTATTTTTTGAGAATAATTTTGATGGCATAATCTCAGTTCTGATTAGAACTGAATATAAGCAAATAATAGACGGATATATTAGCCATAGTTAAGTTTTGTACCACAGTATCATTAGATGCTCAACAAATTGCTAATACTGGACAACGGATACAACTGAGTGAATTGCTGCTGCAGTTTACTGGCGTCGATTTTGCAGCTAGATCGAGTCGTTTGATAGCTGTAGATGCTTTAGACATTGACGGTGATTCAGAAGATGAATGATGGTAAATGAAGTGGAAAATTTGTTGATGGATTAGGGTGAAAGGAGTTTCTTTTGGGGGCAGTCTAGAGTGGCAAAAAAAAAAAAGAAAAGAAGGTTGTAGCAATTATGTTGGGGATTAGTTAGGTGGAGTTTCAGTTTGAAGGTTAAATGTAGTGTCAGTGTGGTACAATTACTATGTAAATACATATATAATCGTAGCAATTGATTAGAAAAATTTGAAAAAATTAAAAAAAATTTTATAAAGAAAATTCTCTCTTCAGTTTGTTGTTACATCTTTTGCTGCTCTTTTTTTTTCAATCTTTTTGTATTAAAAATTTGTTGCCAATCTTTTTTTTTTGTTTTTGTTATTAAAGTGACAGAAAAAAAAGTAGTTCAAGAGATTTGTACTTATAAAGTTGTTGTTGTTTTTGTTATTTTTGATGGTGGTGGTGGCAGTGTTGGTATTAGTTTATCTGTTTGGATTCTGTATATATACTACAGCTGCAACCATATTGGCACATTAACTTACATCGTTTTTTTTTTGTTGTTGTTGTTGTTGGTCTACTTTTGCTGTACACATTAACGAACACGGGGTTTATATGTTGTTGGTTGATATAAAAAAGCAAAAAGGGAAGAAGAAGAAGAAGGAGGAGGGGAAGAAGAAGAAATATGAAGAAGACGGAAAGTAGTTTTTTAGTTTTTTTACTGTTTAATGTTTTAATGTTTTGCAAAACAGCAGAAAAAAAAAAATCTGTTGGTTTATTTGACTGTGGAAATGATTGTCGGTAAAGAATAAAGCTGTAATTTGTTTGTTGTTCTTTTTGATTTTGAGGGTTAAATGTATGAGTAGGTTTTGATATTTATACGTAATACTTGGGTGAGATATTATTGAAAATTTTTTTCTGTTTTGTTTTCGTTGTTGTCGTTATATTTATTGACTTTTTTAGAGTTAAAGAATTTAAAATTATTTTTTCTAAAAAAAATAGAAGAGGAAAAATAGTATTTTTGTTTTCTTGTTCCCAGAAAAAAACCTAATGGTGTTGATATTTATTACTTTTGCATTATTTTTATTCGGGGTTTTTTTTTTTTGCTTAGTGTGTGTATGTATTTATGTGTGTTTCATGAAAACAAAAAAAAATTGAAATGATTTAATGTAAAGGATAGCTTCTTTTTTTTATCTGTTTATTTATTTATTTGTCACTGACTATTAGAGCTTATCGATTTTGAAACCAGTAATGTTTTGTGCTAAGAGTTTCGATAGGATTCACTGTATCGTCAGTTTTTTGTTGATGTCCACTGTAGAAAACATTTAACTATTAGTCCAATTTTAGACATCTTCATTAATGTCTTTTAAAGATGGAAGTTTGTAGAGCTCTTTTTGTTGCTGCTGTTGTTGATGATGTTGTTTTCACATGGAATTTGTATTTTAAGGGCTAACTTACATGTAACATTAGGTTTTGGTTGAAACGATGTGTTTAATATGATTTTTTGTTTTGGTACTACACAAGTACTTTTTCTTTTTCTGCTATTATTATTATTATTATTGTTGTTGTTGTTGTTGTTGTTGTTATCATTATTTCTCTTTATATGCTGTTTATACGGTTAGAATAGTGACTTTTACATTGTTCCAAATGTTCACCATATCGTTATTGCATTGAAAAACTGAAGTTCACAGTGTGGATTTTTTAGAAGAACAGTATAGACGATTAAAGGGCATTAAATGTGTGATGTTCGCTTTGAAGTTGATAGGATAAGGCGATCATCGAGCTGCAAATTTTGGACCGGAATTTTATTGCATTGAATCCACATGGATCTCAAATATCGCTTTTCTTTCAATTGTCTTATGATATGCGGCAAAACAGAAACAAAAATTCTTTTGACCAAATATACTTTAAACTAACTGATAATGCTCTTTTTATTTTTGAGGATTTTCTTTTCACTCTTAAAACGAACTTACTTTCTTGTTTAGTGAAATAATATGTTTGAGACAACGAGACACTTTTGATTTTTGCTATTTCTTTGACTTTAAACAATTGAGAATTTTTAGAGAATTTGGAATGAATTTGGAATTTCTGCAAAAAAAAAATTTTACTTTTCTATTTGCTCCTGTTTTCTTCTTCTTCTTCTTCTTCTTCTTCTTCTTTTTTTT